AAGGGTTTATAAATATACGACTTGGGAATTTGCTGTATGAAATAAATCAGAAGAATTATCCCCAAGTTCTTCTACGAGAGCAGTTTACATATTACAGTATAAAGATCTGAACCGAGTATCACGAGCTACGTCACGAATTCAGACGGTCTCCACCACTTTTTCGATTCCTTTCCAGAAGGGTAACAACACCCCTGCGCTCCCATGGTGATCTTGTCCTGAGCCAGAGTCTAAAAAATGTCGTTTATTTAGGAATGTGAATTACTTGACAAAGCTGTGTGTTATTAGATAAACCTATTTTTCTTTATATTGATTTAAAATGACAAATAGATTTGGTATGCATGTATGTAATGACGTCACCGATGTTGTTTACAGCACGCGCACCACGTTAAATCGATGTTGAAACACAATACCTTTTCATACAATGTCGAATACCACGCCAATATCTCTCGAATGTTTCTATCTATCCTGCCTCGACGCTTGCCTAATGCAAGCATACGAAGCCTATCATATTTCTCCCATTTCCTCTCCTAACTTTAGCCCATCCCCTCCGCATTCGCCTCCCTCTCACGCACCCTCCTCCACGCCAGCTCATGACTATAACTATCCCTACTTATCGCCTGGTGATGTAGTCGAGTTCTGTGGGCCCGCGTATGGTGGCAAAACATCGATATTATATTTTATAATCTTGACTACTATACTCCCTCCCTACTGGCTACAGAGTAAGATTGAATCAGGACCATCATTAAAAATTACAAAAAGATTCGAAATTGGTGGTCGCGGAACAAGTGTAATATTCTTTGATTTAGATGGGCGGTTCGATGTGAGTAGAATATATGATTGGATTGTGAGGCATTTGAAACGCAGGGTCGAGAAGAGTTTTGAAGAGTCCAATACGGAAGAGAGCAGCGAAGAGTTTGAAATTCAGGATAAAGAGGCAGACTGCTGTCATGATTGGGTGCCGACGGAAGAGGAAATTAGGGAAATTGCTAGAGATGCTTTGAGGAGGTTACATGTTTTTAGTCCACAAACGCCGTTAGAGTTTATTGCTACTTTACATTCTTTGAAAGAATATCTCGAACATTGTCAACAAAGAACACGGGAAACATTCACATTTATAATGATAGATTCTATAATGGCTTTTTATTGGCAAGACCGCGCAGAGGAACCTTATCGTGGTAACTCAACCCCAACATCATCCTCTGTCTACCTTACTCAAACATTACATATTCTCTCATCTCTCCTGTCCGCTAATGGACTAGTCCTCCTCACTACGAGTTGGTCACTAATCTCAGATATCTCCTTCTCGACGGCATACCCTCCCGAATTAGCATACAAAGACACGCTCTCCCACATCTGGCAGTCATTTGTGAAATACCGTTTTGTCGTAGCTCGGCAACCTTTACCCCAATACGAAGAGGGTATAAGAATAGCCGAATTGTGTAGAAACAGAAAAAAGGAAAGAGAGGGAAAGAGGAGAGAAGGGCTGTTCTTTGGAAGGATGGTTACGCCTGTTTGCGATAGTGATATTTTTGAATTTCAGATTAATGACGACGGGATTTTTTGTGAATGACGAGAAAGAGAGGTATTGAGTTCATGTTACCCGGAGCTGACGCTAAATTTAGTATTACGATGGGTAATTTATTAATAGATGAATCGACTGACAAGGACCCTAAACTCTTCACACATATTGAGCAATTTACAATGCTGAGTTCACGTCAACGCAATTTTGCAATGTCACAACCTTTTCCCCCATAACTTTTTCTAGCACACATTTTCGCGTAATCCTGCCGACTACTCGGTACCTCAAAATTAATTTGCTATACAGAGATCAAAAATTTCATTACGCTTTGTCATTCCTTTAATGAATTTATTCATTATTTCTAGCAACTTCCTTTTGTAGTAAATAACGTCGCTGTAATGGTATGGTAGTAATCAAGTTAGATAGACATTCATATGCAAACCAGAATTGATGTTCGCTTTACCGTAAACTGCTACCATCATATGTCGTAACCATTCGTACTCGCCTGCTTTTTTCAATTTCAGTTAACTTAAATCGTTCGGAATCAGTCAGAGCAGCTCTTTTTGCATGAACTTTTAGTTTATTAGCCCATGCAGTTTTCTGCCATTTGCCGTGAAGATCTTCCTTCTCACAGAGTTTCTTCTTGGTAGTTTTGGGATCACAATATCGGTCAATACCAAACGTCTAAATGCTAGAGACTGTCGAGGCACATCATCTAACGGACCATCGATGAGAGCCTATCATCAAGAAAATTAGATCATTATTTTGAGCAACGACGAAGATAAATTCTCCAAGAAATAACTATACCTATTGTAGTCCATTATATCCACGATAACAGTACAGTAAGCTTTCCTTATGCTCGCCATAGTTGATAAAGACAACTCGACCAACTTCGACCCACCGCTTAAAGGTAGACTAGAGAATGCCCGAGAATTATCGCAAACATATTAATATCGTTATCTGTCAGACAGAGAAATTGCATCTAAATTTGAGATAGGCAAGTTTGTACAACAATAAAAAAATTTGATTGGTTTGACCAATTGTTGTCATCTCATACACTTGCTCAATTTCCTGCAAACCCAAACGACTCTCCTATCCGTATCCTAGACGATACTTCTATTTATAATGTTCCTTTATACTACAACTATCCGGTCTCTTTCCTGGTTCCACATGTTGATTTTTATTTCAAGTGGATGGGGCGAAGACAAACACTTCATGTTGCTCTATTGATATGGAAATCTGATATCCTTCGCGAATAATTTCCTTGATCTATTACAAGAATTAATATTATGCATGGAGCTTATTTGTATTCTCATTTGGCTATTAAGTTATCGTCATAGCTCCAAGAAAATCTAGTGGGACGTCCCGAGTTTTAAGAAGCCACAGAATACGGCAAATTGGTCAAATTGCTGCCCGAAGACGCCCCGCGTTTACAGCAGTTCCAATTTGCCGTTGCTCTAGGTGCGGGCACTCGTTAATAGTCTATGAGGTATAATCAGTAGTGACGCTGGTTCATTTCTCGTTTTCATTATAAACACCCCCGATGGATCCAACATGTGACATCACCCGAGGAAATACTATTAACATTAGCAGCAACAAACAACAAGTCCTTTTCCTGATGGATAAGGATTGGGCACAAATTAATGCTGCACAACAAACTTGGCCTACAACAAAAATTCAAGATGGAAGCATAACTTGAGAATGTCAATTAACAGACGATGCGTTTCGTCTGGATTGGCTTTATTCCATCGCTTCTTTGGCTACTCACTGCTTTCGTCATTCATTGGGCGACTGCAGGAAAGTCTGGCTAGACTTTTTCTTAAACAAGAGTTAGTGCGGCACGACCGTATATTAGCGCTACATATACAAGGTAGAGAGTGGCACGCGAATCTTATAATCTCGATCTTTTGGGCGGTATTACGCAGAGTAAATATTGAGCATTACAATGAAGAGCTGCGAAAAAAACAGAAGCCCCTGCTGAAACTTTTCTCATTTCGCTTGTGACCAACTTCGATAACTTGCCGAAAGAATTTATTCAAAGGGTGGCGTTAACCGCACAAATTTTAGAAAAATTTAAAACAATTCCTCACTCTATTAGGCATTACCAAGCCTACGAAAAAGATGAAGACTTTATGGATAAACTCAACATCGTTAAACTTAATTCTCAAAAAGAAGATAAAAATGGTAGAAAACTTACTAACAAGGAAAATGCCAAGCGAGGAGAAAAAAACTCTGCAAGAGCTTATGAAAGATTAAAAGTTGGTTTTAATACTGTTCTGACCGTGCGTGACTGACAAGCCCGAAAAATTGGTGAGCAGTATTAACGTTGGCAATGCAATTAGATCAGGAATTAGAATGGGAGAATGTATGGTTGTACGCTTATGTGTTTGTATTTTATTAAATTATGTATACGACCTGAGGAAGAGGATAGTAATGCTTATTTCCGATTAATAATAAATTATAGTTTCGGCCAATTTTTCTTTTGGGCTTCATTCCTGAGATTTTCTTTGAAGCTTTCTACGAATATGTTTGTACGTTTGGTTGCTTCATCAACGTACGGAGATGCTTGAAAAAGTATAACATCAGCGATTCGAACTGGACGTACTCTTTGTAGACTAGTTAAATAGATTGTACCTTTGTCTGATAGTTTTGATACTTTTCTATGCGTTTTTGCAGCAAAACGATGGAAGGCTGGACTTTCAAGAAGCTAAATAATAAATGTTAACGTTAGTATTGTAGAATGTTCTCAAAGATGCAGTCAGAGCAACAAAGTTGTATTAGTTGTTAGAGTCAATAATTACAGCGACGATGTATTACCTTTTCAGTGAGATATTCCGTGGCCCAGTAACGGAAGAATCGGAAAACCATGATTGAGGGAATTAGAATAGATAAAAGAGATTATAACATATGCTATGAATTCGAGTATCACATTATTTGGTACCATTGCCCAATCACAACGCAACGACCTTTGTGGCATATAGAAAACAAAGTTAACGCGAACCGAAAGCCAAAGGCGGAATCAGGATTAAAAGGCGAGTAGTTTTAGGAAATGTTGAAAACGCCAGATTCGCTCCCTGGCTGTTATGATCGATTTGTTGCGTCAATTGTATTCTTTGCATATTAAATATCGTTGACATTTGCGTATTTGAAGCAGCACAATTATTAACATTAGTACGTTCGTATTATCAATGCATGTTCTTTATTTACCAAACCACGAGCTAATTATCAGATTATGAGCTTAAATTAACGTATTAGTATATTTGTATTCATAATAAAACTCGGTTGGGGACATTTGAGCAAGAGCCTGTTAAACATAATAAGAAATTACTATTCTTTAATTATTGATTGGGTGACAGTTGTTAATTAATTGATTGGATGACAGTTGTTGATTGTCTACAAGAGCCAATCAGAAGCTGAAGTTTATTATTAAAGAGAGCCGGGAAACATTCATTTCTCAACCATTTCGTATTGCTAGCATCAAATGTCAGAATCGGCGTCTCTTTTACAAATATTAGGCACAATCAGGAAAGAGCTCACAAGGGGCATAACAATTGGAATAGAGAACTTTCATGAACACTATTATCTGAGGAATATGGAATACTATTGCGAGACTGACTGCTTCAATGCTCCAACCATTTCGATTTCTCCTGGAAAATGGGGATTAGGGTGAGTAATTGTAAGAAATGCATGAACCGAGTCCGATAAGACTGAGGGTAAGATAACAACTGTAAACAAAAAATAACGTTTAAACGTCTCAAACACTCATCTCGTACCAAGTCTTACAAAAACCTTATCGTTCGGTGTCACCATCACTCTCACAACAGAGCATTTAGGTCTTCAATAACAAATGGCACACGAGGCCTTTTGACATACGAACTCCAAAGTGAATCATTTACCCTCACTGATCGCCTGTTTCTGATCATCGGTTGGCACGTGCCTCTTATCGGGGACAATCACTATTTCCTTCACGTAGCTCAGGTAGAATCGCCCGACTTTCCCGCGAAAGAGTCAGAGAGACAAAGGGTATATGAATTTTTATCGCACAAAAAGACGAGGGCTGGAAAGAAGACCATATTTTGTTATGTAAGTCCGGAGGTTGTTGATGATCAGAAGCAACAAGTGAATGAAAAAGAGGATGGGAAGGCAGATCATGCATCTAGGAGTTGTTTGACTGTATGTGCATCCATGGCTACAACGTAAGTACTGTCTGTGTAATAAGGTTATTTATTTGTTATTGGTCCGGCGATCATTAATCAGAAGCAGATCTGTTCTAGTTATGTTTAAGGTTGACAGAGTATTTTAGAATCACCCTCTAACATAAATTCCATAAACATCTTGTCGAAAAATCTGTACAATTTTAGCTCCTTAGCCAATCTTAGAGTGGAGATCCATCCCCAAAAGTTTCCAACAGATGAACAGAATGTCGAAGGAACTATACACATTGCTGGCCCCCCTCAGAGATTTTCTTTTACAAAATTAATGGAGGAACGGTTTGCAAATGCCGAAATTAAAGTCAACGATGCATTAGAAAAATTTCTTAAAATTAAAACCGAGTCTACAGTGAAGGACACTAGAAAAGGCATTTGAGGAAGAGACAATTTGGAAGGAATGAGCACCGCAACAAGTGAACTATTATTTATTATACAATTTGGGTGGTATTTAGACTAGAGATTAAGAATTGTAATTTATATTTAATTATGTGATTTTGTCTTTGGGTTATGTAAAGTGGTCAAAATATATGTCAACGGTATTTTTATTCCATTTGTTTTGCGTCAAAATGTGAGAAAAGATGAGAAGGGAGGTTACAAGAAACGGATGAAAGCGAAAACTGAAAGCACCCATACTGGTGTAAGTAATCAAACTAATACTAACTCAAAAGTTTCCCCTTGCACGAGTTACAAGTACACGTTAACACACAAACAATTATCCGACGTCTAATGTTTGTTAAACTCACATAGCTCGCCCAAACCAATCTACTGTCTCATTATCAATATCTTGTCTGACTACTACGTGCTCGACCATATCCAACCTCTTTTCCACCTCCACCTCTTTCTCTATCATCTTTGGCAAAGTCTCCCGTATCTTCTTCTCAATTTCCATCTGTTTATGTTCCAATTTTTTTATCCCTTCTATCTGCGTATCTTCTACTTTACTCAATCGCTCAACGATATTTTTCTCAACCCTTGTAACTGCACCCACGGTATCTAATTGCATTTGATTAACGTTGGTTAGCGTACCATGTTGAATACGAAAGACAGATTCAAGGGAGGTAAGTTTCGTGTCTAGGCTCAAATGTCGTTCCTGGCTTAGACGTTCGAGCGTTTCAATGCGAAAGTCGAATTCGTGTAATTTGGTTTCGATGCGAAGGAGTGTGTCAACTATTTTGCCAAGCTGTAGATCGCGATTAAGTGCGCGTTCTTCTGGTTCTATGATGTCTTTGAGGCGTTCCATTTGCAAAAGTGCCGAAAAAAGGGTGGAGGAGGGAGGGTTGGAAGAAGAGGATAGTGGAGGACAGTGTAGCCATGTACGCAACTTGGTGTAAGATTTCTTCATCGCCTGCTTAGCTGGACGTATCATTTTTAACCCTATCTCCCATGATACCACGCATATGACAAATGCAGCGAACATGATCCACCACGCTGTATGTTCAATCCATACGAGGTTGTTCCTCTTGCGTAGCACGTGTTGCGATACTTTTCTTACGATTACTTGCATCACGTTTGATGGTGGTGGGAAAACATATACTGAGTGGAATAAGCCAGTAGTTTTCCGGGTGAAATAAAGAGCATACTCGGCTTCTAATGATGGAACAAGTTGATTATAGCAAGCTGAGAATGACGCGATCAGTAGGCTGACTAATAAAAGCGTAGCTATTGCAGTGTATGCGATGAGTAATTTTCCGGTGAATGATGATAATAATGTTGAGAATATTAACCTAATGGGAGATAGGCATACATTTACATTGTTTAGGTATAAAAGTCATGTTTGATAAAATTTGCGATCAGTCGTGCGATTGATACTTGTACTTACACTGACTCAACGGCTACGCCGCCCTTCCCTGCAGCCCATATCGCTTGTCCTGTTCCAACCATCATTGCCAAAATAAGTGGCAGGAACCACAAACTCTTGCTCACCATAGCATTAAACACGAGTATTGCCTTTCCACATGCTCTATTAGAGTCGAGCCAGATTACAGTGTTGGCGTATAGTAATAACGATGTAAGTGAGAGTAAATCGAATCCAGCAAATATTGGCTCGCGCGTGAATGAGAAAGTGATGCTAAACACGCGGACTATGAAAGCAAGAAAGAGGATCGATGGGAAGCTCAGAGTTATGTAAGAAGACGGTATTCTAAAGTACATTGACTTCATTTCGCGCATCTAGATAATAGTTGAGTTTTTGAAGACATAAAATAAATTGCAATCGTATACGTGAACACGAAAAAATAAAGCCGACTTCATCAACTCTTATTCATACCTTGTTAAACTCTTGAATAAGGAATCCAAATGCCCACAGATAGAGCAACCACTCTGTAATGCTGGGTGCACCTGATTTGTAGTCTGTGCAGTTGATGACATAAGTATATAATGCAAGGAACGCAAAGTTCATTATTACTGTCGTCGCATTCTGAAATCTGCAAAGTAATAGGGAAATAAAAGTTAACTTAACTATATTAAATGGATAATGGCCTGTTGATTAATTATTCAATACCTTGGAGTAGTTATAATCTCTGTTATACGTTTGAATTTGGCCTTTCTAGTTGGAAGTGATGAGTCAACTAGCATAGGATCGGATATTTTCTTACCCGCCTTCCATAAAGCCTGTTTATGACAATGTTCAAGTCAATATCGTACACGATAACCAGAACATGTACATAGCAACTGTCTTACCTGTACAAATGACTGAACACTTGGCAAGACGAGGAAATGACGCGCTTCTGCCCTAGTTGCAATATCCAAGGCTATTTTCGAAATGAGTTTATAATATTAATACACGTCGATTTCAATAGCATGTAGCGTGTAAAATTCTCACATACCACTCTTCTCTGCGCTATCAATTTTCCAGGGCTTAAGCAGAGCTTCCCAAAGCACCTCACGTTCCGGGACACCTTCTTCCCTTCTTTCGAGTAAAACCTCTAGCACATTGCCAGCAAGCACCCAACATCCTTGTGCTCTGCTCTTAGACACTTTATTCTCACTTTTAGTAAACAATTCTCCAGCATATAGCACAGCATATACACTTGCTGGTCCGCCAAGATCAGTTAATGCCGTAATTGTCTTCTTAGAGAAAAAGGGATCGTTATCAAGGTTCTCATTATGAGGTCCTATCTTCTCGGCTATTGTTCTATATACATTCGATATAGTCTCGCGAATTACAAGTATAGAAGAGTCAGAAGGTATTGAGATTGGTGTATTTGTTGGCAATAAACTCGTATCGTCCAGAAAGTCTGGTATATCGGTCATTATAGTGAGGGAGAACAACCTTTCAACGGCCTCCCCAATACACAAAAATGCACAAAATGCATTTCGTACCAGATCATAATCACGCCATGTCTGTCGTGACCATAATAGGAAGATTGGAACTTGTAGATGTTCACTGAAAGTCGGCTATCGAGTGAGACGATTTCTGAAACCTTTTTCAACATGGGAATTTTTAATTTTAATTAATGATAGGAAAAATTGGCCCTGTGTAACTTCCAGTCATCAAACATTCTCTGATATATATTAATAAGAATTTCACAATCTGGCTCATCCGTTTCCTGGAAAATTGAAACGAACTAACTTTAATTTACGATTCAAATGTGGAATCGAGCAGATCAGCGTTATAATTATGAGGATATTTTAATATTAACCCAACACATACGGGAATCAAAATAATAATAACTAAAAATAAAAATTCGCACATGACTGAGAGGACCTTCAATTTTATAGAATAGTTTCATTAAAATAATATGGGATAGACTGCAACAAAACCAGACAAAGCGAACATTCAACTATGTGTGCTTAAAAATGGTTGATATTGACCAATGTGAATGAAGGCTTAGTGACAGCTGTGGCTCATGCATAAAATAAGGACGTTTTGGAGCCATATTATAGCAGATGCGACTATTATTCAAAATGACTAAGTTGAAACGGACATATACTTTTACTTGTGATGGTGTTTGCTATAGCATTTACATTGTGTAACAACAATTTTTTTGCGGGTGACAGTCAAATAAATGTAAAACAGCTCATTAAGAGTAATTAAACAAATTAATTAGAACTGTATCGAGAATTCCTACGCCATTTCTCCTTCATAATTGCTCCAATTGCCACATTTTTTGGTAACCTTTTCCCCTAATTTAAATTTAAACGCGACTTGTTGGATGGTCAGTCTATTAAGTTTGGCACATTATTATTAAGAAATGGCTTAGAATTTTGCTGATCATTGTCGTGGAATGTCTTTCTGGTAACTATAGTCTTTTTAAATGTCTCAAAGTTGTCATACAAAATGTATTTATGGCATAAAGTTTTCAATGATAAAGACGTGTCTCCCTGAATGCTTTTGCTGCGCCATACATAACTTTTTAGGTTGGCCATTACTTCCATTATGTAAAACGTCGCCAGTTTAATTTTCCAATATTATAATAGTTTGCTGAAAGTGATAGAGTGTGCCATTGTTCCAGATTTGACGAGAGCACTTTGGTTTCAATAGAAAAAAAATCACATGCCGTTTGTTTGCGACTCAGTTTGGATCCAAAATGGGCGAATAGTAATTAATTAAATTTCTAAACAATAAAAAAAATTAATGTGGAAAGATTACAGTATTTAAAGAAAGAGCGGGGTAAAAAAATTGCACCTTATGTGTTTAAATAATTGATACCAAAATTCTATAAATTTTGCCAAGAAGAACAAAAATTATTATAATGTCGGGACTTGGATGGCCAGTCAATCAAATGGACTGAATTTTCAGCGACGAGTTCCGTGACGTCCTCCCATGCAGCGAGTTTGCAATATTCTCTGACACTATTGAAAGGTTGTTTTATCATTCACATGCGCCTGTGTCCATGCTTTCGCATCTCAATATGCCATTCTGTGATCCTAGAAGCAGCTTTACCTTTTTTATTTATTTTACGTGTTTTCTATCCTTTATGTCATAAAGTATATAATAATCCCAGATAGTAACACGTGAAATTGATATTTTCTATTTTTGCAGTTTGTCTGGTTGAAATAATATCATATTCTGCCGATAACTCTATGTAATCATGGGTTCCTCGCTTATGCTCAACGGTACCCGTTTCTCCAAGTTTTTCTCAACAGTACAAAGTGGAATATTTGTTATATTATGTATTACTTTGGCTGAATGAGTACCGTTGAGCCACTAATTTTTAATTTTTTGTCTTTGGGCTTTGAGCTTCGCATTAACCATCTTTACGAAAAGTATAAACAAAAGAAAGTACGTGTAAACGGATAAAGTACTCATGAAAACCTATTTACTCGATATGTATTGGCAGCACGTTTATTAAAATTCTGTACTGTAACTGTTGTAGATTCAGTACAATCCTTATATCATATTAATATTATACCTTTCATTTTGCACAAGAAGAC